TTTATATGTATAAACATGTTGATTTTTGTAAATGTAGATGTCCAAATGCAACATCAGAAAATAAGAGTGATAACTACTTAAGTTAAAATTTATTGGTAATTTTTTAACATTTCCTCAACAAGTGTCTTTGTAAATTAGATTATAAAGCCAAAGTATCTAAAAATTAATAAAACATTAGATTGCATAGAATATTTTCCTAAATTTTTAAGATAACTGGGTAGTTAAAAAAAAATAAAAATTCACATTAAAATCAAGTAATTATTACAGTTATATCCCCTTTAGAAAAAATTCCCAAACATATCTATCAGAAATGTGTCAACACTTCATAAAAACACCAATCTCCTTGTTAAAAATGCTTTTCTTGCAATATTTTAAACTAAAAGTAAATATTATTTGCTTAACATTAGATTAATCAAACTTTAAATCAGTTAATCTTCCTCAAATAAAGTTTCAAAAAGTATATTTTATTTTTGAAAGATTTTTTTAATAAAAGAGAATTATGTTGTGCTGACAGATTTGTCAATATGAACAATTTTAACATTTTTACTGATAATAAAAAAAACTAATTTCAATCAATTTTTAAATTCAGTTTGAAAGCAAAGTATTTTGCTTATTGGTAATATTGAATTTAATCTATTAGCTTGAAATTAAAACTAAAATAAAAGCTTCAAAAAAGATTCTTCATTTTAAAAAAATTCATTTTAAATAGTTACTTAAATTAGATTTTCTAGAGCTTAAAGTTTATATTAGTTAAAAGCAGAACTTGAATTTGAATCATCAATTTCTTTTTATAAAACAAGGAAGCCCAGTTACAGAAAAGTTGCTCTGAATTGTAAAATAAAAATGTAATAAAACTAAGATATTATTTAATTAAAGCTTTTAATTGCTTTTATGAATAATATAATTATGGGCACTATTGTCTTAAGAAAATCTTTTGATAAATAATGAATTTTTACTCAAATTATTTGCATTTTTTAAAAACATTTTAATTATAATAATTTATAAAGTTTTAAATATTTTGAAATTCTGTCTTACTTTGCAGAGGTTAGGTGATATTGTGATTATGTAAAAACTATGTTTACTAATCATGAATGGAAAATTATTATTACAATTTAGTGGCGACTCCCAATATTTTTAAAAGAATTTTTTTTGTATGAGTATAAACGTGCCAATTTTTGTAAATACTGTCGCCCATACATGATATTATCAGAAAATAAGTAAATTTAAAGCCAAATTATCTAAAATTCAATTAGATTACAGAGAATATTTTTCCTAAATTTTTAGGATTACTGGGTAGTTAAAAATGATATAAAAAAGCGCTCACATTATATTCCTCAAGTACTTTACAGATATATCCACTATAGAAAATTTTTTTAGATAAGCTTCGTCTACCAGTCAAGCTGTCAACTCCTTAAACAAACACCTACCGCTGTGTTAAAAAAAAAAAGAATTTCTGCGATATTTCAAACTTAAAGTAAGCAATATTTATTTCAAATCAGATTAATTAAACTTTAAATTTCTCAAATAAAGTTTCAGAACATTGTGATGACGGATGGCTAGAAATGACACTATCAGATATTTTAGCAATTTCAAAACGAAAACACCTTCCAGCCAATTTAAATTAGTTTTGAAATACAGGAAAAAGTATTTTGCTTATTGGAAATATTAAATTTATTAGCTTGAAATTAAGTTTTAATTTTAAACTAGTTTAAATTTAAAACTAAAAAAGTTCCACGAAAGATTTATCATTTAAGAAAAAAAAAATTTTAAACCTTAGGTTATATTACTTTTCTGAGGCAGGGACCTAAAATCTAAGATATCGCTTTTCTGTAGAGGTACATAAAATTCTATTCATAACTGTCAATATCAAACATGAACATTTATTCAACATTTAGATTTTAGAAGAGATTATTTTTACTCAATCATCTCCATACCATATTTCAAAAGTAGTTTAAAATATTTGATGAAACTTTTTTTTAACAATGAAAATGTCTTAAAAATAAAGCAATTAAAAAAACAAAAGTTTTAATTTATGACATAAGAAAACTTTCATTTTAGAGACACAGTTAATCTGCGATCAAAACAATGTCCAAGAAATTAGAAATAAATAATGCTAATAATAATACTGTCCCATATAAAAATATCTTTAAAGCGCATAATTGTAAGTAGATAAAAAAAAAATGAAATTGTTATGGATGCTGTATGATGCGAGAGAGAGAAATACTTGACTACTTTATGTGCTTTGGAGGAAAAAGATAAGCGAAGGAGAATGTGGTGAGGATTTAGTAAGGAATGGCACTAGTAGAAAACAACTGCTTGTGTAATTCTGTTTTTGTCATAATTGGCACAAACATGTTAACGTATCAAGGCTATAAAAACAAAAAATACTGGAGAGAGGTAGAGAGAAAGAAATTTTTTAGCTAAAAAACATTAACATTTAACCAACGACTTGCTTAGTCTTAGAACAAAAATTAAACTCAATAAATTTTCTGTGGGTAAAGAAAGATAAGTTTAAAAATTAAAATTTATACAAAAAAAAAAAACAAGTTTCCAAAAACTGAATGTGAATGAATGTAATGAGTGAGTAAAAATAAGTAAAATTATTTTTTTTTTTTAGCCAACTACAACCAATATACAAGCTTATCTGAGAATGAAATTAATTAATAACTCACTTTTAGTTTTGTTTTGTTATTGTTATAACTTGCATGTCATATGATGACTAATTGAACCTTTTCTAAGAAATCAGATATTCTTTCTCTGAACTTTTTTCAGAATGTATTTTTAAATATATATAATTTTTTTTTTTATTATTTAAAATACACGAAATTACTGAACATTTTGTGCGGCAAATCTTATAAAACAGCAATAAACGAATCTTGTGTTTAAAACTATTTTTATTAGAATCTGAACTGAACCAAATGAATAAGCTAAAAATGCAACATCTCGTTACAGTTACTTCATTACACATTAAAAAAGGACTTGTACTTTCATGAAAACGAATTGTATTTTCGTAGAAAATGCAGTAAAACTAAGTGTAAAACACTACAGAGTACAGTACACTTTAAGAATTAGACTTGTGAAAAGATTTAATTTACAAAAGTAAAACTAACACTAACAAATGAAATTTACTTAATGTGTAATTAATTAGTGACATTTTGTCTTGAATCAGAACGAAGAAATGGTCCAATAAACTTAATGTTTTAGTTAGACTAAGTCTCTTTAATTGATCATTTTTGTTTTTGTTTTGAACAGGAAACAAAAATGTATAATTTGGAATTCGTCTGCCATAACGCTTCATTAGAAACAGTTCTTTTTCAATTTGAGGAAAGTTCAAGTCAAACAATAAAGTTAAAAGTAAACAAACAAAAAGAGACGAGATCCCAGATGAAAGATTCAGGATATTGGTTAGGTTATATATGTATCAGAAACTTAAGTTTAAAACTGTCATCATTCATTCTCCATAAAGACATTTTCCTCGCAGAAAACATTTTAAATCTTGACTTATTTTTAGGACTTTTTTTTTACGCATAAGAAAATAATACTGAGTTTTTTTCCCCTTTAGTTTCAAATTTTAGAGCTTGTCCCAAAAGAAACTGGAGAGGCTTTTTGAATAAAAATACAAATTTAGAAAAAACATTTCAGTAAGTAGAGGAAATGACTGTTAAATATTAATAAATGTAATTAGAAAAATACGAAAATGATTTAAAATTGAAAACGAAAATGTTATTTTTGTAATTAGATTATTTTGATTACGAAAGCGTAAACAAAAAATATAAAAATCTAAGGTAAATAAAAATTAGACATAATCAACAGGGTAAAAAAAGGGATGATTTTATTTTTTATTTTACAAATAGTTACAAAATGGGGGATCACTTTATAAAAATTAACAAGAAACGGGACCCCAAATTACGAACCGTCTTCAGTTTTCTTTTCACCTATGAGTGAAGTCAGTTTTTGTTTTTTTAAATAAAAACCGAAAATCATTAACTATAAAATTATTTCATCAAAAAATATATTTAAAATAAAAATCATATCGAATATAAAAACTATGGACATTTTTTCTCTGTATACATGAAAGTCGACTAGAGCATTTTAAAAAGTTAAATTTTACCATGCCTCATAACGAAAATAAAGCTACTTCACATCTTTTGAAAGCATTAAACAACAAATTTCTCAATGCATCATGTAAAGTAAAACGATCAGAGATAAACAATCCGACGAATTTTAAAGTAAAGAGAAGAAACGACTTAAAATAGTCGCTTCTTTTCTTGCAGAGATGAGGATGTCTCAGGTTGCCAACAGAACGGCTTACAATAAATTAGTCACGTGACTAAGCATCTTCTGTACCATGCTTATGAAATTTTTTTTTTATTTCGATAATTTTTTTTCCAAGAATTAATTTTTTTCATTATGTAAAATTAATAATTTGCATATTTATTTTTTTTCAGCGATTTCCTGAAGTAAAAAATAAAAACAAAACGTAATTTGTATTATTTTTCTATACTGTCATAAAGCAAAGAATTTTTGTGTGAAAAAGAAAATTTACACTTTGTTGATCCAAAGAATTAAAAAAAAAATAAGTACATAAAAAACAAATAGGGGGTTCATTTGCATAAGCAATCATATTTTAGAAGTTGATCACGTACTTTTTAGACAACCCATACACAACAAAACTACCCTTAGTAACGATAGAATTCTTTAATAGTTATAAAAATATACTTTTAAAAAAGATCCTTAAAACACCGGGAAGAGTAAAAAAAAAAAAACTTAAAAATTAGATTCAACCAAGACATATAAATAAAATCAGTAAAAAAAGAATCAATTTGAAATCTCAAGTAACAAACGTTTAAAATTAATGTGGAGTAAAAAAAAAATAAAAAAAATACAGACGAAAGAAAAACGCGCTGTAGGTATTTTCTTTTCTTAAAATGTGAGAAGTTTTGACTTAAACAAATGTAATACATGTTCTGGCTATCCCTTGTAAAGAATAGTAAACATACCCTCTCTTGTCTTCTCCACTGATTTGTCTCTATTATTTTCTGTTTTGGTAGCAATGTCGCTCAAAGCCTTCATAGAAAGTCGTCCAACTTTATCTTGACGCTGCGCCATTGCTGCTACCTTCACACGCTGAAGAGTTACACTAAAAGTTTTTCACGACTGAAGAGAGGGCTTTTATAATTTTCAAATCTGGATCGCACTCAAAACTGTTTCTTATATGACACAGCTTCAATTCTTCTCCCAAATTTGGGAAAACAAAATATTGATTTCAATATTCTTAGACAAAACACACAAATAGATAATATATTATTTTTAAGTTTATTTTTTGTAATTAAAGAGGAGTACTTAATTTTTCTGCAATAAATTTTATTCAAATAAATTAAAATTTCAAAAAATTTTATTGAGCTTTTGGAGCTGAACACAAAATAAAATTATTTATTTATTTAAAGACTCAATGAAACCCTGCAAAAATGTTATTAGAATTTATGTAATCTAAAAAAAAGATATTGATTTTCTTAAGTATTAAGATAATTACTTCTTGTATTTAATTGTTTTTGTTTCTTTTTTAAACTGTGATCTTTTCCATTCTTGCTAACTGCATCTGTAAATTTTGGTATGTTTCTTGTAAATAAAAGAGAACTGATTTTACACTTTGATTTGGCACAAAAGACTAGATATGCAAAAGAAAATAAATAGTGTTATTTAAGTTTCATTCTGATAAGAAAAAGTAATTTTTTGATATGATAACAAAAATAGTAATGATTTTATATGTATGGTCAAAACAACATTAATTTCAAGGATTATAAAAGACAAAAACTATGATGTTTCTTACCAGGAACTAAATTGTTAGACTATATTTTTACATTTCTGGTAATTATATAGATAATTAATTTCATGTGAATAGTTATGAGAGAGAGAAAAAAGTTAACATTGTGAGAGGTTAACAAGTTGCTTTGTTAGCCTGGGAAAGTGAAACTAGTTTAATGTGGCAGCAACAACAAAATGTTTATCAACTAGAATTATGTAATCTACAAAAAGATAAGAAAGACAATAGAATAAGTATATTGAAACTTAGAAAATGTTATTGGAAACATTAGAACTTGTGGGAAAGTCTCCCAAAAGTAAAATTTTGAATATATATATTTTGTGCAGAAGGTCAGTTATGAATGTGCAGTCAGTGGCATAACCAGAATGTGTGCCACCTGATGTAGCCCTTGAGTTTATCACCCCTCCTCTTACTCTACCTACACAGCAAAAATACAACATATTGCACAGTAAGTCTTACATATATATATATATATATATATATATATATATATATATATATATATATATATATATATATATATATATATATATATATATATATATATATATATATATATATATATATATATATATATATATATATGTATATAAATAAAAAGAAAGAACAGTAAGATATAAAATCGGTGTTCTTATAGATATTTTATTTTTACAAAATAGTGCTCAATGTAAATTTACAGAGCATTAATATATATATATATATATATATATATATATATATATATATATATATATATATGGAGGCACAGTAGAGTAATGGATAACAGCTTGGATTGAAGAATTGGAGAATTGTATTCAAATTTCAGATGACTTTTTTGCAGCCAACCATCAACACGATTGGAACACCCATCCATCAATGTCCCGTTGTCAACACATCCAGTCCAACCATCCTTCAATTACCAGACCATCTAACCCATGGCCACTCAGGTCTGCATTGTAAATAAATTTTGTATTAATCTTAAATATCCTTGTTCTGTTGTCCATTTTTTTCACCTGTCAGATTTCACATCTTTAATTTAAAAATGTTAGCAGGCCTCTTGTGACTTCATACTGATTTGGGTCAGTCAGGCTATTTCACATTGCACCTCCCTCCAGGGGGTCCACTACAATTTCATTACATTTACATATGTGCTAATACCCTTGGGAAAGGTATGAATCCATCACTTTTCTCCTCATCCATGGGGATGCAGGACAGACTGGAACCTATAGCTGTGGGTAGCAGATGGTCTCGGAAAAGGAGAAGGACAACTTTGAATTCAAAACCTACAGAGGATCTTGTGTAAGACTGTGGATCAGGTTTCTGCATTCAGCTATTCCAAAAAGTATGGTTGGTTCTTCATAACTATAATCAAATGATATGTGTGGGTAGTCTGGCTGTTGGTTCTAAGAACTGAGCTGCTGGACCCTAATATGTCATATGCCGAAAATGATGGGAGAGTCTCTTGTGCTGAGTTGAAAAGAGAAAACTTGACTTATTTCATAGGTGGTGGTTTTTGGAAGACATGTGAGTGTTACACATTGGAAAATGAAAAGAGATTTTCAATGTCAGTGGACCAGGGAAACTAGCATTCCCCAGGGGAAACGTAGTTACCATGGGTTTCTACATGTTGGAGCAAAGAAGAGAAAGAGAAAATGAGGCAGGAAATGTTTGCCTTTTTATAGACTTCAGCTGCGCCACCTAATGGCATTTGACAAAACCAAGTGAGGTAATTCCAGTTCCTTTTTTTCTTAACATCATGAAAAAATTATAATATTACTTTCCCATACTCAAATATATTAGTATTCTTTAAATACACATCAAACATACTACATACTTAAACTTTGAAATTAACAGTTAAGCAAAAAGAAAAATCAACTAGGGGAAAAAAGTGTAAAAAATTAGGATCATCTTTATTTCTAAAATGAAAACTACAACTTTCTAGAAATTAACTTTTCTTGCTTTTTCTATACAGGCTTATACAGCAGACCCAGTAATGGTACCCCCATAAAAGTTTCACATGGGGCAGACCATCTCCTCTAGCTATGCTGCTGTGTGCAGGCAGTGTAATGATAAATGGCTTGGAATGAGAAGTTGGCATGCTGAGTTCAAATTCCAATTGAGTTCATTATATTCACTTTCATGCAAATATATTTGGGAAAGATATGAACCCATTTCTTCTCTCCCCACAAATAAATAGCAGGGCAGATTGGGCTCTCTAGCTGTGGTTGGCAACCAGTATAGGAGAAGGACAACTCTGAGTTCAAAACTATATGTAGTCCTGGCCAGTGATGTAGGATGGATTTTGAGCACCCAGGGCAATTTAAACTATTGCACCTCTGCCTTATAAATAAGCTGTTATAAATTCTAGTTTTGTATGTATTTTCTCAACCTAATTAATTTTTTTGCACCCCTAAAAATTTAGCACCTGAGGCAATCTCCTCTCTGGTTCCACCAATGCCACACCACTAGCTCTGGCAAAGAATATACTCTACAGTCATAGAAAGGGTTATGGAGTTCATAATGACTAAGGTCTTGACCGTGGTTAATGAGGTTGGTAGCTTTGGAAACTATCCAACCATTTTGAATATTTTGAGGACCAGTTGATGAGCTTGGTAACTAACAAGTGGGGACTTTACTGTGCACGCATGAACAGACACTCTTTTGTAGAGTTACTCAATCGACAGTATATAGTATATGATTCATATCAGAAAATACCTGAAGTGTGACTCAAATTTAATGTCCATCATAAACCTTTGGTCTAAAAAGAGTTGATCTGTGGTGACCCTGATATGTACTGTGTTCAACTTAAGAGATACCAAATTAAATATTTTACTTGGTATTGTTATAGTCTATTTCAAATTAGACCTCTTTCTCATTCATCCCACATTACAACCTGTTAGCTGGATGAAAACACTATGAATGCAAAATAAAAAAGTTGCCCTTTGTACAGAGTCTCTGAACATCACATTCAGCTCACAAAACAAATCCCCACAAAATCTAAAATATAATTTAACCATCAGAGCCATTCACAAAAAATTGCCACTACTAAAGTAAAAAGCCCGACAAAAAACACTGAATTATGTATCCACCCTGACTGCTTAAAAGTACCTGCTACCAACACTCAAAGCAGTAAGCTGGCACGTAAGTAAGAAGGCAGTCATAAAGTTCACCAATGGGTCCTGGTCAACTGACTCGACACAAGCTTCACACCAGGTCTTACTGACACTCCCATCCACCAGGTTAAGAAACAAAGGGACATCTGATTGGTAGGAAATACCAGTGTGCAGCAATTAATTCAAACTTTATAAAATGGTAAATAATAAAGATTTTCTTATAGTTGGTTCACATATTTTAATAATTTAGTAAATGCTTATAAATAAAAAATTGTTTTGATATTTATTCTTTTATAAATTGGTAAATGATAATTATTACATTGTATTAGTTCTAATTGTATTAATTTTTAGATTGATTGATTCATTCATTTTCTATGGCTTATCAACCCTTTGCAGGTTATTTAAAGTCAGAAAATACTTTTAGATTCTAAGAGTTTATTTTTGTGAGATAATAATAGTTTAGTGATACAAGTCTTACTAATTACAAACTTGGATGGTAGTTGTAATAATAGCAGTGTCAATGGAAAAATCATCCTTTTGACACTATTTTTTACTGAAAGTTTTCTTGGATCTGAAGAACTACTATTATGATCACATCAGAGGTTATTCTTTATTACTATGTTAAACTAAATACTTTTAATTCCTTTAATGAAAACTATTTGTTTTTTATGCCCTTGTAGCAGAAAAACACAATTTACACATAGTTAGAAATAACAAATAAAGACAAATTCATACAATTATTAAAAATATATATCTCTAACTATACACCAAATTTTGTCTAGCTAAGTGACACACATGCCACACTCTATTCAAAACAAACTTTAAAACACAAGTATACCAGAGTGCTGGCCATTATCGACACAACTCTCACTTGCCACAGATATCTAAAACTAAGAGAAGCTGGACAGGGAGACAGAGCAGAGAGAGAGAGAGAGAGACTTCACACACACATGCCTACCTGGAGTATGGCTGACTGCCTGTCCTATCATTTGGCTGTGAAAATGACCTCCTGTGAACACAGAAAGAGAACAGATTCTACTATCAATGTGACAAGCCCAAACGACCAGCTTAAGCATACTCCTTTTTCATGCTCTCATTTCACACCTTGTACACACCATACATTTGAATGCTACACTATACAACTTACCAGAGACACCTTCATATCTTGTAAATGAAAATAAATCTTTGGTCCT